AAGGTAGACGATCCAGATTTCCGCCCGGCCCTCGTGGGGGTTCCATGGAGGCCTTTGTGTTCTCGCGAGAATCGCTTGCGTAATTTGTCCGATAAGCCGCCGGCGGAGGTCCCAGTGGAGGAGAAGCGAACGGCATCTTCTCTGGAGGTGAATTGAGCTATCACGATCGGATCGTTAACAGATGAGTCTACAAGCGGGGATTGAGTCACGCTGTACCACTACCCTGACCACTTTCCACAGCTCCATTTGGAGGCGAAGTGACTGGATGCAGTGGATACGCAGGCCCCGTTCCTGGCGGGTCTGGTTTCTTCCAGTACGCGCGGAGCCGGGGGCAAAAGAAAATCCCCATCGTCAATGACTGCTGCGGAGTGTTCAGCAGGGTTGATCAGATGGCGATTGTGGCAATTGGACTCATGAAGCGACCCATGAGCGCATGAGCATCGAGAAGACCCAGCCTCCCATGACGACCTTTTGCAATCCTCGCGAGTTGCTGCTGTGAGGAAGGCGGGGCGTGGCGTGAGAGTCGCCGGACCCCAACTGAGGCAGGCGCGTTCGTATTCTCGATTGAGTCCGGTTGATTTGTTTTAGCCATTCTGAAAGACAGCTTACCACTAAGGATAGGGGTCTGTCCAGTATCTGTCCGAAACGAAGCAACCATCAGACTGCAGCAATCTGGGGAAAGGCATTGCTCAAGTAAAAGTCCCAAGCGCCGGACAGCAGCAGCACAATTGGTCTCCGAACTCGATCGCCGGAGCTCCGAATGATGGAAGCGGGAAGCGGGGTTTCTTATCCAACCTGGCTGATGCTTCGGACAAATCGAAATCAGTCAGATTGATTGAGCTTGACTGGAGTGGCAAAAGGACGATACTGATAGTCGCAGCTTCAATTGTTGACACAGAACATTGCGAATGGAGCAAATCAAAATCACTCAAGTCATCCAATTTCACCACGGCTACAACTGCAACTTACCAAATAGGCATGTGGCCCTGGCACGGTTTAGTGGCCGATCGCGGACGCAGCCAGACCGTCTCCGATGGTTTCTCCGGACTGCGACCGGCTGTGACTCAAATGATTGACCGTTGGTTAATTAACTTTTGGGGGGTCTTTCTGGGTCTTTTTGGGTCTTTTTGGGTCTTTTAGTTTTTTTTCCTCGCGATTGACTTGATCACGCCATTTGGCACTATTCAATTGCTGGGTTAGCCTCATACTTCGGCGAGATGATTGACTGTCCTCACCAGTGGTTCTCCGTAGTTCAATACACACTCCTTACAGTGTCTACTATGTACAGTGTCTTGCATAGAACAATTGAATCGTTGGCCTCACTGATGAGCATCAAATGCATGAGAATGAGAACGTGCATAATCCAACCCATGGGAGGGCACTCTCCGCAGTCGGGCTACGGACAATGATTTGATAATGCGATTAGATCAAGGCAAAGATACCCAAAGTAAACCGAACCTTGAACCCAAGCGGGGAATCGCTATCGGAGGGTTGTTGACAGTCCGGAGGGATGGTAATCTTACCGGTTATTACCGGCCACAGAACCCCGCCAAAGTTTCCGCCATCGAGACCCAGTCAGAAACAAACCTTCGGCCTCCGATGTTTTATTACTTTTTTTTTTTTCTTCTTACAGTACAAGCCTGGTTGTAGCCTGAGGTTTTCCGCCTCCCCCCCCCCCTGCCCCTCCTCCTCCCAGCTTATATTTCCCCTCCATCCCCCCCTCCTCCATCTTCTTCTCTTCTCTTTCTCTTCCATCTCTCCCCTGTGTCTTTCTCCCTCTCTCTATCTCTTCTTCTCATCTCTCTCCCAGCAAGAGGATTGATTCTTCTTGTCTGTTCTTCCTTGTGTTGTGTGCCTTGCCACTGATCATCTACTCTATCATCCCTTTCCTCCCCGTACACATTCACACACATCCATCAAGATGGTTCAGTCTTCCGTCTTGGGTTTCCCCCGTATGGGAAAGCTCCGTGACCTCAAGAAGGCTACCGAGGCTTACTGGGGTGGAAAGATCTCTCGTGATGAGCTCCTGAGCGAGGGAAAGAGACTCCGTGCTGAGCACTGGAAGCTCCAGAAGCAGGCTGGTGTCGACATCATCCCCAGCAACGACTTCGCTTTCTACGATCAGGTCCTCGACCACATCCAGCTCTTCGGTGTATGTCTTGACCCTTCTGATCCATTCTCATCAATCTCGCTAACATGCTTCTTCATAGGTCATCCCCGAGCGCTACAGCAAGTACGGTCTCGACCCCCTCGATGAGTACTTCGCCATGGGCCGTGGTCTCCAGAGACCCGCCAAGGATGGCCAGGCCGCTGTCGATGTTCCCGCCTTGGTATGATACACTTATGAGGATCTTGGATTTGAGCAAGACTAATACTGTCTCCAGGAAATGGTCAAGTGGTTCGACTCGAACTACCACTACGTCAAGCCCACCCTCCAGGACAACCAGACCTTCAAGCTCGCTGCTGAGCCCAAGCCTGTTGTTCAGTTCCTCGAGGCTAAGGAGGCTGGTGTTGTCACTCGCCCTGTCATCCTCGGTCCCGTCTCTTTCCTGACCCTCGCCAAGGCCGACCGTGGCCAGACCATTGACCCCATCTCCAAGCTCGAGGAGCTCCTTCCCCTCTACGTCGAGCTCCTTGCTAAGCTCAAGGAGGCTGGTGCTGAGGATGTCCAGATTGATGAGCCCGTCCTCGTCTTTGACCTTCCTGCCAAGTCCAAGGCTGCTTTCAAGCCCGCCTACGAGAAGCTCGGTGCCCTTGGCGACAAGGCTCCCCGCCTCGTCCTTGCCACCTACTTCGGTGACATTGTTCACAACATTGATGTTCTTCCTGCTCTCCAGAGCCTCTACGGTATCCACATTGACCTGGTCCGCAACCCTGAGCAGCTCGACACTGTCGTTGGTGCTCTCGGCCCCAAGCAGGTTCTGTCTGCTGGTGTTGTTGACGGTCGTAACATCTGGAAGACCAACTTCAAGGCTGCCATCGAGAAGGTGGAGCTCGCCATCCAAAAGCTCGGCAAGGAGCGCGTCATCGTTGCCACCTCCAGCTCTCTCCTCCACGTTCCCCACACTCTCGAGAGCGAGAAGAACCTGGATGCTGAGGTCCGTGACTGGTTCAGCTTCGCTGTTGAGAAGCTGTCCGAGGTTGTTGTGATCGCCAAGGCTGTCACCGAGGGTCCCGCTGCTGTCCGTGAGCAGCTCGAGGCCAACGCCAAGTCCGTCCAGGCTCGTGCTTCCTCCAAGCGCACCAACGACCCCGAGGTCAAGGCCCGCCAGGCCGCTGTCACCGAGGAGATGCACAACCGCAAGTCTCCCTTCACCACTCGTATCGCCGAGCAGACCAAGTCCATCAAGCTTCCTCTCTTCCCCACCACCACCATCGGATCTTTCCCCCAGACCAAGGAGATCCGTGTCCAGCGTAACAAGTTCACCAAGGGTGAGATCACCGCTGAGCAGTACGAGAAGTTCATTGAGCAGGAGATCGAGGAGGTCGTCAAGATCCAGGAGGAGCTCGACCTGGACGTTCTCGTCCACGGTGAGCCCGAGCGTAACGACATGGTCCAGTACTTCGGTGAGCGCCTCACCGGTTACGTCTTCACCACCCACGCCTGGGTTCAGAGCTACGGATCCCGCTGCGTGCGTCCCCCCATCATTGTCGGTGACATCTCTCGTCCCGCTCCCATGACCGTCAAGGAGTCTAAGTACGCCGTCTCGATCTCCAAGAAGCCCATGAAGGGTATGCTCACTGGTCCCATCACCTGTCTGCGCTGGTCTTTCCCCCGTGACGATGTCCACCAGTCTATCCAGGCTCAGCAACTGGCTCTTGCCCTCCGCGACGAGGTTGTTGACCTCGAGGCTGCCGGTGTCAAGGTCATCCAGGTCGATGAGCCCGCCCTCCGTGAGGGTCTTCCCCTCCGTGCTGGCACGGAGCGTGAGAAGTACCTCGAGTGGGCCGTCAAGGCTTTCCGCCTGTCCACTGCTGGTGTTACCGACGGTACTCAGATCCACTCTCACTTCTGTTACTCCGAGTTCCAGGACTTCTTCCACGCTATCGCTGCGCTGGATGCCGATGTTCTGAGCATTGAGAACAGCAAGTCTGATGCCAAGCTGCTCAAGGTCTTCATCGACGAGGCCTACCCCCGCCACATCGGTCCTGGTGTCTACGACATCCACTCTCCCCGTGTTCCCAGCGAGCAGGAGATCAAGGACCGCGTCGAGGAGATGCTCCAGTACCTCCGCCCTGAGCAGCTCTGGATCAACCCTGACTGTGGTCTGAAGACCCGCCAGTGGCCCGAGACCAAGGCTGCCCTGAGCAACATGGTCGCGGCCGCCAAGTACTTCCGCGAGAAGCACAGCAACTAAATTCTTTTTACATATTTAATCAGCCCATGATTGGGGCGACGATTTTCAACCCGTCGTCTCGGAGAGAACAATCTGTCGATTGTTGTCCGTCCATTTTCTTATGATGAGTTTACGAAGTGATACCAAAAGTTCAACATATGGGTTCAGGGTTTCATTAGATGGGGTCCCCGGAGTTTTCAACATGTCTTTATGACGATTTCAACATCGGCGTCTGCATTAAACATCAGCGCCAAGGTCTTTATTTCTGCTCTTGAACAGCGGGAATGCTCGGTGATGTCTGGTGCTCGCCGGTGTCTTACACATAATATTTCAACAATGTGATACCACGCGAAGAGGTTGCTACTGTACCACCTCTTTGGCAATTTAATTTTTTTACTGTGATTTCGAATTATCATCGTAGACTGCTGTAGGTGTCGCTGTTCAACCCCATGCTGATCTACATAGATCTTCAGTCCTTCCTAGTACCTCGACTACAGGTCCACATTACAATATGGTAGTACCTTGGCCCATCCTTTCACCCTGAAAGATCCAGTCTACATAGGAAAGCATACAGTAACACCCCACAACCAACACAACACAAGACAACCCAAACCCTCTAATCAAGTAGTATATTACACCTCAACCACCAAACTCCTCCCTCCATCACACCCCCCCCTCTACCCACTTACTGTCATGAAAGCAGTACAAAGTCCAACAACATCCCCCCAACGTACTAAGAACAACCCCCCATGAACGCCATGGTTAAGCTAAACCTACATCCACTCACAAAACGGCACCACCGCCCCCCGCCCCGCAACCGCCGCCTCCCCAAACCGCTCCACATACCACCGCCGCCCCCACCGCGCATGCGGCAGCATATTCGTCACCGCGTTCACCACAAACACCGCCGCCGGCACGGGGACCGGCCGCCCCAGGTGCGCGGCGAGCTGCGCCGCGGGCCGCAGCCACGGCGCGAGATGGAGCGTGCCGCTTGCAGTGGCAGCAGTGGCAGCAGTGGCAGCCCGCACCGCCGTCCCGGCGAGGGCGAAGCCGGTCCACTCTAGCCATTCGCAGACGTAGTGCGGGTACAGGATGGTGGCGAAGAGGGGGGTGGTGGGTGGGGGGATGATGTAGATCTTTGCGGTGGAGGGGGGATTAGATGTTGAGGTTGCGGGAGCTGAGGAGGTTGAGGTTGAGGCTGAGGGGGTTTGGGGGTGGTTGACATTGGGTTTGGAGGTAGCAGTAGCAGCAGCAGCAGCAGCAGCAGCAGCAGCAGCCCGCCTGGCGCCCTCCTCGCGCCGTAGCCGGAAGAGTGTGCGTTCGGCGTAGATGTTTCCCGCCATGCCGGCGAGGAAGAGCGCGGTGCCTAGGGTGGGGAGGATCCCTGAGATAGCAGCAGCTGCAGCTGCTGCAGCTGGTGATGATGATGGTGATGGTGATGATGCGGCAGCAGCAGGCGCAGAGTGATAGGCGGGGTGGATGGGGATGTCATATCCCACCAACCATCCAGCCAAACACGTCGAGTTGAACCAGTTGAAGAGCATGGCGGAGGCCAGGATGAACAGGTGGATGGGGGACATGCTGGGGGCGGCGAGGAAGGGGGAGACGATGGCACGGTTGAGGTAGTGCACCACAAACAGGGCGGCGAGGAGTTTGTTGGGCAGGGGGAGGGTGATAGCCCCATGACCACTGGTGGTGGTGGTGGTGGTGGTGGTGGTGGTGTCGGCCAGCTTGACGGGCAGCTTCCACAACAGATACACCAGGTTCAGCGGGCTGACGATCTCCATGGCGAACCAGGCCCAGCGGCCGGGCAGGTTGAAGATGGAGGTCTTCATCGAGGTCTTGCCGGCCGGGTGCCAGGCTGTCAGCCATTGGACGATGGTGAACTATACTGCGGTGGTTAGGGACGACAGGAAAATGGGTGGCAGACTGACCAGCGGGAAGTATTGGAAGATGTTCAGCAGGGTGAGGTAGACATCTGGGGTGGGGAGGAGAATGTCCGTCAGGGGAGGCAGAGGGTCCCAGCAGGAGGAAATGATGGCCCCCATGATGGGCTGGATGGGTGTACTGTACCGGTGAAGTCGATATACCGTACTTGATTGCAAGTATGTCATTGGAAGTTCAACTGAACTCAAGTGATCCTTCGATCAGGTGTGTGACTAAGATCTTACTAAGGGATCTGCAATCGCGATCAACTACGAGTACGCCTGACAGTCTGACTGAACACCCACTGGTAAAGCACCGTCCATTGCGCCTACCATTCATGCTTAGATTCCAAAACCATAACACATCATTGGGTTCAAACCCCCGGCAATGCAGACCATGGTGCACTGATCGGGTCGCGATGTACTGTAGAACCCGCCCCGACGCGGCTATTCTATGATGATAATCCAACGCAAGAGAAAACGCCCAACCCATTCTCAGTAAAAAACAAAGAATACGATGCCCTCGTTCCATCTCATGGTCAAAAGCGCTAATTGATGAAAAAGCCCCGAGACGGCGGAGATGCCTTCGGCACAAAAGCCGCCGCTACTCGCCATCAACCAGTAGTCGTGTCCATCGGGTCGGACACCTTAGCTTGCCTGCGCGCCGCCATCCGTTCGGCCTTGAAGGCTTCGATCTTGGCCTTGAGTTCCGTATCTAGGATGGACAGTCAGCCTTGACCCTTCTGGACATCGTCAACGACAAAGATACTCACCGGGTGTGACATCCTCCATCTTCAACGGAGCTCGGTTGAAGGGGTCGTGAGGATCACTGAGAAGGTGAGAGCGGATGGTAGAGCGGTCAATAGACACCCTGGACCCGGGCAAGATCACGGGGTCTTCCATCAGAGTGTACATAAGAGGATCTATAAAGCTGCGTTAGCTCCATCGAAGTAGAAGCCAGAAGTGTAAACCGACCCAGGAAGTCATCAGGAACCTCGCCGAGGTCCTCTTCCGCCTGCTCGTCTTCTTCTTTAGCCGCCTTGACCTTGTGCTGAAACTGCTCCCACCGCTTGAGCTCCTCCGGCGACTTCAGAGACCATTTCCGCAGAATCTCGGCAGCTTTCTCGAAGTTGGCAGGCTTGTAAGACCGTCCGTCACGTGCCACGGCCACAATGAAGCTCTCCTTGCCCGTCAGGTTCAGATAGACATCGACGATCTCGCTCAGCAAGGCCCGAGGGTTGAAGCCGTACTCCTGCAGGTTATCCACCCGCAGCGTGGCACTCTTGGGTCCGACCATGGCGTCCAGGTTGTAGTCGAGCATATCAGCCAATCTCTGCACGATTTCAGGCATCGTGAAAGAATCGGCCAGTGCATCGGTGAACAACTTGAGCATGGAGACAGTCTCATTCGTCAACTGCATATATGACTTGGCATTGCGCTGCGCGGCCGCCAGCTGCTCCTCCTTTTCTTGGCGTACGGTGGGCTCCATCGCTGCGGCATTGCGCAGTTCCGTTTGCGTCTTGTGAATCGTGATGAAGGCCCCGAACGACTCATCGAGCACATAGGTCACGTCATTGAGCAAAAGATTGACGAAGCGCACGAAGAAATCCAGGTTCTGCTTGGACTGGTTGTAAAGCTTGTTGCGGTAATGGGTATTGGGCCAGATGCATTGGATGATCTGGAAAATCTCGTAACGGATATTAAACTTATCGAAAAACTGGGTATGTGTACCGGTGTGCTCAGCCTCGATATAGAACTTCATCAGGGCGTGCAGCAGGTGCTGGTTGGCGAAAGGCATGGAGTTGAGCAAGTCCACGAGGACGCCCCGGCCGCCTCCAGGGCGAGGCCAGGTTCCTCGGAACAGGATGGAGACAAGACCTGCTTTGAGATAGGGATTCCTGATGTAGCTCGAGCTCTCTAGGAAGGTAATGCAAAGCATAACCAGCTCGTCTCCTTGGGTGGCAGTAATGATCTGCGGCATAGCCCACATGATGAACTTGAAGTTGCTGACGATATCATCGATGAAGTATTCGGGCAGGCACTGGAACACTTCCGGTTGCTGCTCAGGCAAGGGAAGCTTGAGTGATTCCTTGGGAAAGTCGGTGCCTGATACCACCCGCAGTACCCAGACCACCACATATCGCATGAAGAGCATAGACCGTGCCTGCCATTGATCGTCAAACAAGACGCCCTGCAAGCTGTATTTCAGGGCCAGACCCAGGTCCAGCTTGTCCTTGTATTTCTTGAGGGCCTGCTCGAAGACTCTGAGCTGCACGGGATTGTTCAACCACCGATGCCGCTCCAGCTCGAACTTGTTGATGGTGGATTCCATGTGCCGCAGATCTTTCTCGAGCTGCTCGAGCTTGGAAGTCAGAGACTCACTGCCGTAATGATGGGCGGCCACTGTCAGGAAGAAAATCTCCGTGATAAAATTGGACGTTCCCTCTGCGGACTTGGCATAGAAAGCGTCCGAGGCATGCTGATCAGCGTTGACCTTGGTTTCGTCCTTCATATCTACCCGAGGCTTGCGGTGTAGATAGTTTGCATCGACCCTGTCGATCTGCAAAGACAAATTGAGTCAGACCCGCAAAGCACATGAATCTACTGGGTCTCATACCTTGGTGAAGCTTGCATCCATGAACGGCTCACAGAGCTGGTCCAGGCAAGTTGTGATGTTGAACATGAACCCATCCGACGATACGGTAGTAGGATCCACTTGCATCGCCCGTCGCTTGTGGTTGATGTTCAGGGAGGCTGCGAACCAGTCCAGCACCCGATCCCTGGCATCCTTCGAGGCCCGAATCATGTGGTTAATCACATCAAGGAGATCCGAGCTAATCATATGCTGCATCATGCGGATAGACCGCTGTGCGTTCAGGATGTATGATTGATCTCTAGTCTTGGGGCTTGAGAAGTATGTCATGGTCACACTGCTCTGAAGCGGGGACAGACTGAACCACGGGCCAAGAAGCGTCTTCTTTTCGAACTGAGCTGGATCCCGAGACTCGTTGAAGATGGACGACTCGGTGATGGCAGCCGCGATGGCCGCATTGTGGACAAGGTTCCGCAAAGCCTGCAAACAGGGTGATGAGACGCGCCCATGGTGAAGAGAAGAGATCAACATACTGTGAGATAGGGCTTGTAATCATCGTTGATGGTCAAGCCCGCAAGCTCCTGACTCATTTCCTCCACAGCAGCAATGAAGGCCGGCTTGATGCTTTCATCCTCATTGAACCTGCCCACAGCCTCGCCGATGAACTCGAAATCCACACCTTTGTCATCCTCCGGGTCCAGGAGGAGGTAGGGTTTGAGGGCCGACTTTTCAGACGACTCGAGCCTTTAGATGGGCAGAAATGTGTCAGCTGCTAATCGTAGGGGGATGGCGTAGCCAACGAGCGAGTTCAACCTACCCGAACATTTCCGGCATGGTGATAGCAAAGATGCAGTAGCTCATGCACATGCGACGGGCTTCACAGATGAGGCTGTATTTCGGGTCATCGTCGCGAGGCCGACGGAACCCCTTGTGCAACCGGGATATCCGCCGCCAGCATGGAAGCAGGTAATCCAACGGCTTCTGCTGGGGAGCATCCGAAGCGGCCTCCAGAAGGGCCTGGTCCAGCACCGACAGCTCGATGCGGACCTCGCGGCCTTGCTCTTCCAGTTCACCCCGCAGTCCGGGCAGGTAGGTTAACCGCTGCCCGTGAATATCCTTCTGACGAGCCTCGTTCAAGGTCAGCTTGAAGACCGCGCTGAGGGTCCGATCGGCAAAGGCCTCGATACTCTCGTCAGCCCGCGGTGGAGGGGGAGTGCCGGAGACGGGGGTCACGGTTTGCGACCGGTCTGGCACTGCGCTGGCGGCGGTGGGGGGTTGAATCTTGATCCGCTTCCATTCTGACTGCACGGTCTGGGGTTGCGGGGATGAGGCCCGTGAGGGAGCGGCGCTGCTCAGATTGGATCGTGGTTGTGACTGGGGTCTCTCTGGGAATCGGGATGCAGGCGAGGACTGCGAGGGCGATGCGGGCTGGCTCGACGCAGCGCCGTCGACGGGCGACGAGGGAGTGGGATTTCCTAGCTTTGCCAAGCGCTTGCTGCGGATCTGTAGATAACAGGGGTCAGAGGAAACTTAGGTTCGGGATGGGGCTTTTAAGGATTTTGGGAGAATAAACGAACCTTGTCCGCTTCAGACTGGCTATCGGACATCTCGACTGATGCTGATCGGGGCAGCCCGCAGCAGAAAACCTTCCTCGGTCAGCGGGTCACGGTTTTCTGCAGGGTGCTTGGCTGAATTTGATCGAATGAAGAAAGTGGTGAGAGGACGAGGGGAAACGAAGAGAAAGTGAGAAAACCAGCAACCGAGATGTGACAAGACCTCAGGAGGGGCTGCCGATGGGGTGAACTGAGGACAAGGATGAAGGATGTGGATGTGGATGTGGATGTCACTTCTGCATGCGCGGTCGTTGAACGTTCAAGTCGGACTTTCTGTCATGGTAGTTTAGTTAGTGATTATTAACTAAGCTGGGTCGGGGTTGGATGGATTTGATTTAATCTTCCCTCCCCGCTCAGGGCACAACACACTTGCCCCAATCGGGTCCGGCACCTCACGGCCATCATGATCGATTCTCCATCTTGAATCCATTCATGGATCATGATCGCATCAATACTGAATGTACATCTGGAGGTTGCTAGGCAGGGGATTAGAGAATCCACTCTTATTATCATCCCTCACAACAATAATCGTCAAAACACTAATTCCCTAATTCGACCCCACCGCAATAAAAGAAGTCGTTGTTTGCCCATAGAACGCCATCACAACCGTGAGAACATATAGACATCTAAGCTGAAGAACAAAACAGAAAGGCTTGATCGTGATAGAGCCCAATTTCATGGGACAATTGTATGGAACATTAGTAAACAATGGATGCGAAGCCAACCGCGCCCGAGAACGAACAGGAACAAGTGTAGCAGCCACAAGAGCCAGGATATCAGTATCTTCCCTTTAGCGAATCAAGTCGCTTGCAGCTCTTCAACTCCATCGACCGTGCCTCCTTGATCTTCTCTACGTCCGGGAAAAACCACCCTTGAGCGTCCTGGATCATGCGATCCCGCGTGTGGATCTCGCTATCACATTCATACCGCAATTTCGTCACGTAGTCCACTTCCACCCGTTGGTCCAGCTGGCGGAACTTGCGGGCGCTATAGTCATCCACATCTCTCGGATTGACGAAGTAATCGATATTCAGCTTAGGCGTTGTGCGATGCAGCGTGTGGGGAGAGACCGCGGCGTCAAACCGGTACGAGGGACCGGACGGAGTAGGGGTGCCAGAGAATCGAGAAGAGATCCAAGGAAGAACGAAGAGAAGAATGAGAGGGAGGAGCTGCTGGAAGGTCGACCAGAGGGATGGAGCCGGCTCGGACTGGCCATTGGCTTCGCGAGGTCTTCTCCGAGGCCGCTGGCCTCCGAACTGATGTACCCGAAACCCGGGGCCACCGCCCATGTTGAAGACAAACTGAGGACCGCCTGTAGATCATGAGTTAGCCGTCGCTTGCATCCAGACCGTCTCGCTCAAACAAGTGAGTCGTACCGAAACCCCCTCCCATGGGGCCAAAGCCACCGCTGAAGAACCGCTGGAAGAGTTCCTCGGGCGAGATCTCCTCCTCGAACATCGGACCACCACCGCCGCCTGACCGGGGGAATCCACCGCCGAATCCACTGAAGGGCGAGGCCCCCGAAGGTCCAGCGCTGGGGGTGAACCTGCTGTCCGGATCCCCACCGAATTTATCGTACTTGGCTTTCTTCTCCGCATCAGACAGGACCTGGAAAGCACGAGATACCACTATACCCGCAGTTAGTTTACGGTGAGGCTACCCCACAAGGAGACACCACCAACTGACATTTGAAAGCCTCATCCGCTCCTTCATATCCATTCTTATCGGGATGCGTCAATAGACTCAATTTGCGATACGCCTTCTTGATCTCGCCATCGGTGGCGGTCTTTTCCACCGCCAGGATCTCGTAGAACGCCGTGGTCGAGCATTTCCGAATCCGCAGGACGGCCGCCTTCTGCTCGGGTGTGTATTTGCGGTCCTGGTTGCCCTGGTTGTGTTCGCGGGATTTCGCAGCACCCCCGTTGTCGACCCCGGATGCGGTGGCGGATGGCATCGCAGCAGGTTTTGATCGGCGATCGCCCCCAGAGAAACTCGGGTCTCAATCAGTGGCAGCAATGCGCTGCTCCCGTTTTATGTTTGGTTTGTTCCTTGGGCGCAGTGAGGGTGCGTCGAGGCGTGGATCTTCGGAAGAGGGAGAGTGGTGGGCCAGCCGGAGCGGACGACCGAAAAAAGACAATAGAGGGGGCGTTTCTGGTTAATCGAATAGAGGCTGCAGATACAGCTTGGGCACAAGGGCACGAAAGATAGCCAGCTGGTTCAGTTGCGGCGTGCCGGGTGGGGTCTAAGATAAAACCAACCGTGACTGATAAACGTGGTGAGTTCTGGAGGTTCAAATGTTGACGCTAAGCCCCGGGTAAGCGTTGACAGTGGCTTGTTAGTCAGGAAAGGCTGTCTTGTGCTCGTTGCCGCGGATCGTCATCCCTCCTCACATCTGCTGCCACCACCTCCGCATTCACTGTTACTTGTTACCGGTACGTTCAGCGCACCACTGTCGCTCTCCATACTTGCGGTTGTCTCTCTTCTGTGGCTAACAATTGTTCAAGATAGGCTTCACCACTCATTCCACCACAGATTTAGCACCACCCACACAATCATGGCTGGTTCGGACTCCGCAGTAGAACAGACGGAGAAGTCTCTGGTCCAGACAGCTCGAGCATGGGGCGGTAAGTAATAATCAGAGCAATCTGGGCTGTTTTCGCAAGACTATGAATGTCTCTCGTGTTGGAGCTTGCAAGCTGACGCTCTTTTACCATTATACAGAGAACGCTTTCCCGCCTACTCTACTGGCCTCTCTCATCACCGCACAGCACATGCGCCCATTCCAACCACTGCCCATGCTCTTCCCTCCCCTCCTTCTCTTCTCGAGCTATGCCAACCTCCAAGGATTCAAAACCGACACGGCGGGGATCAGCGCCGCCTGGTCTGGGCTCTACCTCCTGCTTGCGGGGCGGCGCAAGCAGCCGTTCATGAAGAAATGGGGCGCTCGGGGCATTGTGCGCGGCGTGACCATGGGTCTCTGCTTGGTCAACATGGTGAGTGGGGGACTTGCCTACACCCTGGGCAAGCGGGAAGAAGACGAAGAATAGACGGGATGGGTACAATTGTATAAATCGGACCCATTGCGCAGGGCCCGAAGATCCATCGAAGATTTATGTATGTACGATAATAATGTCCGCCAAACACATGGATGGGGGGGAGCGTCGCTTTGGGCATGGTGTTATGGTCGTCGTTGAGATAAAAGCAAAATTGGTTTCTGGCACGCAGAATGTTGAAAATGCGCTGTCTATGTGTATACGTGGTATTGCAAAGATCTACAGTGGTTGCGACTGGCGGATCGCAATCGCGAGGCAGCGGGTACGCGCTGTACCGGTCGGTCAGGCCGCTGTCGATCAGTTCGCGTAAAGTCGTTCAGAGAGAATCATCGCCTGTATGCTCGACGGGACCAGCCAGTCCAGATCCTGAGGGTTTGCGGCGACTGCCTCTCGGGCCTTGGTCGAGCTCACCGATGGTGCCCCCGGTTTCCGTCCCTCCACCAGCTGAATTCGCTGGGCCCATTCCCGCTTACCGCCTATGTCATCTTTCCTTCCCTCCGCCAAGTCCCGCAAAAAGGCCTCCTGCTCGTCCCGACTGCCCCAACTGCTATCGGGGCGCAAGGTCACCCGTAACCGATGCTGGGACAGGAAGGGCTCCAGCGACTGCAGGGTGTGTTCGGGCGGATAGTACTTGGGATCGAAGATGCGAATCAAGGTATCGTAGCCCGTAAGATGGACTTGTTCCAGCGAGTGGGGGTATACCCCCGCCCGCTCTATCTCTGCCGCCTTATCCACAAAGTATGGCTTCTTTGTGACGGCGATATCTATTACTGGAAGGGTCTGGCGAGTGCCTGGAGGACTTGCAGATGGCAAATGAGAAAGAAGGTCGCGAGCGAACAAGTCCATCATGGTTAGGCGGTCTTCAAAAGAAGCGGGTTTAGAAGGCTTGTCCGCATTCTGGGTCGCCAATAGCAAGAGGAGCCGCGGAGCGCAACGGGTGTCCTCCAAAAGAGCCGAACAGGCAATGCGACGGTGTGCGAGCGTCGGTGGATTGAAAGAGGAGTCAAGCACGTACAAGACGTCGGGACCTGAAGCAGGGTCATGGTCGTCGGGTGAGACGGAGGCCAGAACTTCAAAGTTCCGATCTGATGTTTGGAACTGTTTCAAGCGGGAAGCATAATGTGCCTGCAGGGACTGGAAGGAGGGTCTTTCCATAGTCGATCCGTTAGACGATGTTTGACCCAATGGCTATTCTTGGAGATATTCTTTCATGCACGGAGAAGAAGAAGAACAACAACAACTATAATGATGAGGGGCAGCCTGGAGGTAAGTTCACGAAACTGCAGTGTCAGAGCCGCAACCTTGAACCGAACCGAACCGAAAACCACGGCAAAATGGCCGACCGCCCAGAGTGGGACAGACGGGAAGAATTGCCCGAAATCCATGGAAGGAAAAGAAGCGGATCGACCATCAACCATCGGACCCTTTCTTCGTCTCGTTTGTCTTTCCGACGGGTGGCTGCAGAGCAAGACTGTACAGGTACAGTACAAGTACTACAGTACAAACGGAGAACAACACAGCATCCTCCATTACTCTACTCATTGGGAGGGAGATTGTCCAACCCACCCAACACGGCTGAGTGGCGGCAAGCCCGATATTAAATACAGGTCCTGCTCTTAGGCTTAGGAGTCTAATGAGTAGGATTCTTCCTATCGTATCTCACCGTACCGTGTTCCGTCTAGATTAATGCGCGGGCTGATCCCAATCACAATCACAGTCATCTCGATGTGCCGGTGAGCCATAATGAAGCCAGAATGTTTTTGATCCGAAGGGCTAGAATTCGGGGCTTCGAATTTTCTTCCTAGCGGTCTTTTGTCTTTGGCGAGCGTAGCCGCGATGGCGATCATCCCTTAGTCAGTGTTTTCTCGGATCAACCACCAAAACTTCAGGCAACCGAGTATCTTAGCTTTGTTGGTTTGAAACATCCGCGGCAGTCGATGACCCTGGAAATGTGGTGAAGTGAACACCCGGGGAGAGGGGTCCAGAGATATCAGCTTGACTATTTCATGTCACGGTGATCCAGCAGCCATCACATTGGTGTGGACGAGGGCGGTTATTGCTCATATTTAATCTAAGATGAGTGCAATCTGTGGGATGGTGTCTAGACTCTAGACTCCTGGTCAAAGTGATTGGGCTCCACTTCTCTCATGATCATCCTCGAATGATCTCTTCTGCTGGTGATAACGTCCGGATCACCACTGTCATTGATGCCAACGCCTCTGGCAGGCAGCCACCGAGTCATTGTCACACGTTGTTGTTGTTGTTGTTGTTGCTGTTGTCATTGTCCTCTGTAAGAGACTGCCTCTCCTGTCCACGGTGGCCGTGTTCGCTTTCGCTTAGGCCTACTGTACCGGTCAATGCTCTCCGAATGGCAATCGCTTAGAGAAAGTTTTCTCCTGCTAGTCGGGCGACCCAGCGGGCCCGGTTGGCGCCGAGCTTGACCATTCGCGATGGCCGCCACCACGTAGTGAATGGCCCACGCTTGGACCAAGTCCGTTCTGTACAATGACTCCGAGATGCTGGACTCCGTAGATACGGTGTTTAATCCCCCTATTCCCCCCCCCCCCTAGGACTCTCGACGTGTATCTCACCGTGCTCTTGATCCCCCGCTTTTCTCCCAATGCCTCGTCACTGCTACGCAGACTGCGTGGACCCATACGTGGGAATAGAGCTTGGCAGAATGGGAGGTACTGTGCATAGTAGTTGATCGATAGTCAGTCTTGACTAGTGATCCAGTGACAAGGTACAGGATAGAAATTGGAGCTCATTTCCGAACGCTGGCAATTTAGAGTTGAGCATTGATTGAGCTGTTGACCGTGATTCATTCATGGATGCTCATCGCTCATCAGGCACCAGCACGTCACGTACTCTGTACTGTACCTCGTCCCTTTCTGGCCCCTCAGCTAGAAGTACAAGATTTCTGCAGGCTTCCTTCCTGACTATTGCTTGTTTTCGATTGTGCCTGTGGATGTGCTGTATAGGGAGTACAGTACAGCCGGGGGCCGGGGGCAACTCCCACCAAGTCAGTCCAGTCTACCAAGTAGTCTAGGTAGAGAGAGAAAAAAGAAAAAAGAAAAAGAAGAAGAAAAACAGGTCAATTGGTCGGGGAAAACGGCCCACCCGAGATTAAAGCCAGGGGATGCGCAGCCAGTGAACATCGTGCATTCACGGGATGAAACGGGGGCCATCATCTCTGCAGCCGCACAAAACCGCCAATCCACGGATGGTGCCTGCGCCAGAGACCCACTCCTATGGAGTCTCAGGAAATTAATCATTTGCATCCCATATCATTTCCATCCTGTTCGGCCTGCGATGAGACAGGCTAAGCTCCCTCCTTGTCGCTATTCACTTTAGTGCACGAGGCAGAGGATCGGCTGATGCAACCATACGTTACAGATGTTACAGATGTTACAGATGGCCCTGCATTAATTCACCGACAGTCCATCCACTTTGCAGGTGGTCTGTACGGTGCCTGGTAACTCAGGTGTATCGTGAACTCTCCGGTGTTAATCAAATAAGCAAATGAGAAAAAGAGTCTCCTTTCCTTTCCTTTCCTTTCTTCTCCTCCTCCTCCTCCTCCCCCCCCACCCCCCTCTTCTCTTCTCGTTCTTAGTCTAGTCTCTCTTTCTTCAAACTGTCTCCATTCTCTTCTTTTTAACAACTCTCTTTTCCCCAAAATCTCGGATTGATTCCGTCAGACTGCTACATTCTCTCTCAACTGTTCTCTGTGCTAGAGACGTTGCTTCGTTCTTTCGAACCCAGTCATTCTTTATCCAACTTGTTGCGAATCGATTTCGCCGCTCACATTCGTTGACCAAACACCCCCGCAGTCTCTACCTCCCAATCAAACACCACCCCATATCACCCAAAACCCCCCCCCCAAATCATCAACATGCAGCTCACTACCAAGGTCTCTGTCGCCCTTCTGGGTGCGCTCGCCGCCGTTGGTGAGGCCAACATCCACCACAACCTGCACTTCCACGGCCGCGATGCCGCCTCCAGCTCGGTTGCGGTCCCCCCCGTCACTCTCCCCACCACGACTGTCCAGCCTCCCCAGCCCGTTGTGGTGACCAGCTCCGCGTCCACCGCCGTTGCTGCCACTACTAGCCTGGCTGTCGCGCCTCAGGGCACCACCACTGCTGCTCCCGTCCCCGCTGCGCCCTCCTCCGAGGCCGTTGCTCCCGCCGGTCCCTCGTCCGTGGCTGTGCCTCCGGTTGCCTCGGTGGGCTCCTCGTCCGTGGCTGTGGTTGTGCCTTCGGCTGCTTCCTCGGTCTCCGTTGTGCCTGTTGGGCCCTCCTCCGTGCCTGTGGTCCCCGTTGGCCCCTCCTCCGTGGTGCCCGGCGCTCACTCCTCGGCCCCCGTGCCTCCTTTCCCCTACTCTTCGGCCATCACCTCCGCCCCCGGCCCTCTCGGCACCGGCGTGACCCAGTCTGCTGGAGCTACCAGCTCTGCTGCGGGCTCCGGCTCCGGCTCCGGATCTGGCGCTGCCTCGGGTGCTGAGTCCGTCTCCACCGAGTACGAGACCCAGACCTCCACCAAGGATGTCACTCTCACCTACACTCTGGGTGCCGGTGCCTCCAAGACCGTGGTGACCACTACTGTCCACCGCACCGTGACTGACGTCCAGACCGTCTATGTGGTACGTTTGGTATTTTCAGCAACCCCGCATCTGAACCCTACTGACCCATTGATATAGACCCCTGGAAGCCACAGCTCCAGCACTGCCAGCGCCAGTGCTCAGGACACTACCCTCACTTCGACCTCGACCGCTTTCGCCACCTACACTCTTCTGGCTGTCCCCTCGTCCACTGGTGCCGCTGGCTCTGCCGCCACCTCTGCTGGTAGCTCCTCCGGCGCTGCCAGCTCCGGCTCCAGCGACAGCTGCGCTCCGGTCACTGTCACTGTCCACGACACCGTCACTGTGGTAAGTTAGGCTGCGTGAAACTTGACGACGTGGTTAGCTAATCAGAGTTGCAGACGGTCGCCCCTACCACTGCCGCTGCTATCACCGCCACCCCCGACACCAACGTCGAGGTTGCCCAGCCCACCACCAGCGCTGAGGACACCACCTCCAGCGCCTCCACCACCGAGGCCGCTGCCACCAGCACTGCCACCGTCATCCCCACCCCTCGCCCTCCCTTCGGCCACAGCAACGGCACCTTCCCCTACCCTAGCGGTGCTGCTCGTCCCACTGGCTTCCAGACCAGCAGCCGCGCGGCGTTCCCCTCGCACTTCCGCCGCGTCTACTAAGGGCATATCAGCCCGGCGCCTTCGTCTGTCCTGAGAATTGATCCGGTGGCGTAACGCTTGCGCGGGCCCCTGTACCTATGAGAGGATTTCGATATTTATGTTTCTGGTACAAACTTGACAAATCTTTTTTTTTTCTTCTTTTTTCTGCTTCAATCCACCTAGTCTATCTTCCATTCTCGTCAACCCGGCTAGGTACTCTACTCAGGTTGTTCCAATTCTTGTTGGGATCCGTCCCGGTCCCACCCGTTATCCAACGAAGCTGTTTCTTCATTAAGTTTCTCTGTGAGAACCTCTCTCTCTCATGGGACATGGATCTTTGTCCGGTGACGGGCCGGACCGGGGTGGGGGTGGGGGGGGTTTAGTTATTAGCCGGAGCGGACGAAGAGTGCCAGGCATCTGTTCGGCTCTCGGGACATGTGTATCTATGCGAAGAATAGATCTAAGTGGGGCTTTACGACCATCCGATGACGATCTTGCTTATGACAGCGGATACTGATTTAGACAGCGAAATTGATTTTTTCTTTCTTTCTGGATTATGTGTGTAGCACTGTAGAATAGGTATGGGGTATGACACGGGGGGCTATACTAAGATTCTAGACCTTACTATACATTGATTGGTCCCGAGTATAAATACATGTATAACAGACTAGATCTTCAGCAGCAGCGAAGGCTCAACCAGGAGCCGGTGGCGCATCTGCTGCCACTCGAGCCAAGTGACGCCCTGCACCAGACAATCCGCCAGATCGTCCAGCTTGCCGATCTCCGGCAGGTGGGCGCCGGCTCCTCGGCGGGTCTGCCATCTGGTGCGATAGGCCTCCACCCACTGGTGTAACTCCTGGTCGTCCGCCACGGCCAGAGAGGAGGAGGAGGAGGAGGTGGTGGTGGTGGTGGTGGCGGCAGCAGCGTTCTGCAGCCAGTGCCCGACCAGATCCATCTTCATCTTCTTGACCTCGCCCGCGCTCTTCTTTTTCTTTCGGGCGGGACGCTCTGTCGCGGCCTCCGCGGCGCCGTCTTCGGCGGTGGCGGGCGCGTCTGCTTGCGGTGGAGGTGGGGTTTGCTGCTGCTGCTGCTGCTGCACCTTCCTTCTGCGTCTCTTCCGCTCGCCGGTTGCTTTCCCCTCCCCCTCCCCATGAATAGGAGAAACCCGCCCCGACCAAAACCGACTCACCCGCCCCGGCTCCACCCCGTAAACCTGTGGCACCGGCACCGGCACCGGCCCCGGCCCCGGCCCCCCAACCGCGTGCGAGTTCGAGTTCGAGTTCGAGTTCGGATGAGCCCCCCTCTCGTGCCGCAACGCCTCCAGCACCGCATACAGCATCCCCTCGAACACGCCCACGCGGATCGACCACTCCTGGACGGGGGCCCTCCCGCCCGACCGGAACCGCTGGCGCTCGATCAGCACGTGCGTCGGCCGGTACCGGGCCAGCAGGGTCGTGATCAGGGCGTACGCGGCCTCGGCGTAGCTGGCGGGGCAATAAGGCCCTATAACCTTGCCGGCTTCTTCTTCTGGAGATGGGTCTGGATCGAGGTCTGGATCTAGGTCTGAGGCTGGAGCTGGGTCTGAGGGGGGGGGGTGGGCTTCGGTTGGTTCGCTGGCTTCATCGGGGATCTGGGTCTGGGTCTGGGTCTGGTTCTGAGTAGTCAAGGGCACGGCGGTCTCCGGGTGCAGTTGCGATGGCTCTTGCGATTGCAGTTCGAAGTCGGAGTCGGGGGCGAAGACGGAGAGCCGGCGCCATGCGGTCAGCGTGATGCGCGGCCGATGCCTATCCCCAGCATCTTCTTCCCGCTTGAGGGCGCCGGAGGAGTGCAGCGGTGGTGTAGGCGGCGGCGGGGCGACGAGCAAATGCGCAAAGGCGAGGTTGCGGATGCCCATGTCGATGCTGAGGATGCTCATTCCCTGCGCGGCGGGAGCCGGCGCACCGGCGGAGGGCGCGCGCTGGTACTCGCATTGCGGCAGTTCCGTCTCGAGGCGGCGGGTGAGCACGGGTTTCGTGCCGGAGGAGTGGATGCCGGTGCGCTGGGCGATGCGCTGGAGATGGGTGCCATGTAGGGTGCGCAGGCAGAGTGAGAGGACTGTTGTTGTTGGTGGTGTTGTGGTGGTGGTGGTGGTGGTGGTGGCGGCGGCGGCGGATTGGAGGAGGGGGATGGTGGTGCGCATTTGGAGAGGATCTAGCGGTTCCACCGGTGTAAAAAGATAGGATTCGAATTAGTCCATGGGTTTTTTGAAGGTAAGATGGTGATGGTGATTGTGCTCGTGTGATTTTAACTATCTTGGCTGGAATTGGTAGTGAGGGAGTTCTGGGATGCTAGCTAGCTCATGGCAGGTTTGAACGCACGAGGCAAGGAGTCAGGATAAATTTATGCATTGCCAGACTGGGAAATTCGATGTTGATGCAACGGGCGAGCGGTGGGTCGAACTGAGATCTGGGGGGGGCTTACATAATATCCATCCATCTACTCATGTAAGTTATAAGCACTAACTTAACCATACAAATCGTACATTCTTGGATGCTTGAGTCATAACCACATTGCGGATTGATACTGAGGCAGCTTGTTGACTGTTGAACTAGGAGAACTCTGAAATCTAATGAGAATCTCCAAAGCACATCAAACTGGCAGCAAGTCTAGAATATGCTAACCATATGAAGCCAAATTGAAGCAGAGAATCCTACTATGCATATTTTACCCTCAACAGCATAGCAACAACCAAAGCCATCAGTCAAAGACATTATTAAAAGGTGCTGTAGTAGGTGCTTTAGTAAATGCCCAAGTGCAAGATGCAGCTGCAGATGCCAGTCAACTCAATCAGATCTAAATTCCTTCTGGAATACCCTGAAACCAACACCCTGCCCTGCCTCTGCCCCCCAATCGCCTCGCACTAGGACAAAGTCAAAATTATATATGCGCTGTCTCCCTTCCTGTCAAACTCCAAAAGCCCCCAAGGCCAAACCCCAAACAAACCGATGCAAAACACGCTGAAGAACTGCATGAAACGGACCCAACTCCACCCGTGTGTCACAGAAACATGCCACAAACAGAACAAGATAAATAAATCCATCTGCCAAAAGGCAGCCCGCGTGATCAAAGAGTCGCGGAACGTGCCACGTCATAACCCTCGTTCGACGGGATCATTGCCACGTCAGTCGGTGACACGCTCTCGCGCACATACAGAATCGGCGCCCACACCCGCCAGTGTAGCACCCCCATATGCGCCAGCCGCATCGAGATGCGCTCGACGTCATAGTGCTGGGGATGGCCCAGCAGGGTGGGCGCCGTGTGCGGGAAGTTGCGCTGCGACTCGCAGATCGCCAACGGCGACATGTTCAGGTACTTCTTCGCCACCGCGAACGTCGCCGCCAGCAACTTCTCGCGCAGCGCCGCCTGGAAGTACTGGAACAGCCCCGATTCGTTCGACAGGTGCCACTCCAGCGCGCTTTCGATCTGCGTGATCACCTCATCCGAGACCGTGCTGCCATCGCTGCAGCAGGCGGCACACGCGAACCGAGCGATCTCCAGCCCGATGCACCGCACGTTCTGCACCCACTGCGCCGAGCCCCGCGGGCAGTCCTCGTTCTCCTCCATCAACGAGCCAATGCGTGACCGGAAGGTGGCGTACGTCTGTGCGGGGGCCGACAGGTATCGTTTCTGCGTGTGGATGTAGGACTCAAAGATGAACCAGCAGATGTCCAGGTTGATCAGGTTCTGAAGACAGGTCCGGAGCTGCCACAGGCGGTCCGAGTCGAACACAAAGGTTTCCGGAAAGGAATCGGGGGTGTGAAACTGGAGTAACAAGTCGGACACTCCCTGAAACAGCACCGAAATCGGCCAGAATGCGTCCGTCTGTGCGGGCTTGTCCATCTGTCGCAATTCGCGCTCCCGGGTCTCCAGATACCAAAGTCGCGAGGAGTCGACCCGGAAGTTGTCCCTCTCAATCTTTCCCCGGAAATACTCCCGCAAGAACGGAACAGTGTCCTCAATCAGCAGCACCCGAAAGGCGCGGATCTGGTGGTTCGCAACGTCCTAAGGCAAGCAAAAATCAGTTCCCATTTCTCTCTCGCGGCGGCGAAACCCACCCCCGCGCGTGAACCAGCTCCTTACCAATTTCATGGCCTCCAGGATCGCGAACAACGTCTGGAGGCCGCCGACGATCTCCATCGGATTCTGCGACTGCGACCCGGACCGGATCTGCTCCACCATCCGATCCGCCCATTCATCCCGCATCGGGGCGCAATGGGTCTTGAGCAGCCCTGCCAGCCAGGCGGCCACCCGAACCATATCCAGCACCCCTTTCTGGATCTGCTGCATGAGTAGCGGTACCTCCAGGTTCTGCACCACCCCCGGATGATCGCGTTCCGGCACCAGCGTCTTCAACACATCCTGCAAGGTGTCGAACATGGCCGGGAGTCGGGGCTCGAAGACCTGTCGCTGGTCGGTCCGCGCATCCGCGGCCAGGCCGGCAGCTTCGGGCGACGAATAGAACGCGTAGATCGAAATCTCCACGGCCATGGCCTCCCAGTAATCCGCCGCCTCTTTCCGCTTCCGCCTTCCTTTCTCCCCGTCGAGGTCAGGCTTGAAATGCAGGTCCCGGTCGAAGTTCGCATCCATCCGGAGATTGATGTTGCTCATGATGCATGGGAGATCCAGCTCGCTCAGCGTGCTTTTCGTTACCGGGGGATAGCGCTTGGCGGTTAACAGCAGCCTATGCTCCTCGGGACGGAGCTCGAGCGCTGTCGGAATGTCAAGGGTTTTCGACGATGGAGATGATGGTCTGGCGGGCGCCAGTAGCGTTGTTGCCGGGGGAGACTGCGACGACACATCTTCCCGGTAAGTAGAACTGCCCGAGTGCCGTTGTTGGCGCGCGTCTGCAGGATCAGGACGCTCGTTCGCATCGCGATGATCTAACGAATCGTTCTTGGGGGACTCCTTCGTATGGCCGCTTCCTCCATAGGCTTCCAACGGACAGTCAGCGCTTTCCTCCTGCTTGCCCGGCGCATCCCGGCGGGCCTCCTTCGTTTTTTGAAGGTCCATCTCCATCCGATCCCGCTAGTGCCCGAGCAAATAATGGTGAGGTGGCAAGGTTGAGAAAGGAAAGGGTGATGGCGGGAGGTTGGGGACTGAGGCGTGGCAGGAGAGTAGTAAAGTGGTCCAAGTGTGAGATTTGACGAGATGTGGCTGCACCTAGATCGTGGGACAAACGGGCATTTCCTTGGTGATAGACGCAAGGCACCGTAGCCCTATACTAGACCACGACAACGACGGTGTGGGGGCGAAAAGGTTCGATTGTGATCCCTTTCCAGCAACCCTTCTGTCAGTCCTTGCCTGGGGTCGACAGGGTTTGAAGGCGAGGGAGGGGAAAATAGTGCGCACCTGATCTTGGTCAACGACGTCGATCGCTGGTGTCGATCATTAAACGGGAAGTTTGTTATGGTAGTGGTGGTAGTGGTGGTGGTTGTAGTTGAAGATTGGTGGGAATCAGTGTGGTAGGTATGGACTGACGATATAGAAGTGGACCAATTGTCGTTGTCGTGTAGCAAATAGTATGCCCCCTCTCTTTTTCTGCCTTTTTATACAGCGTATAGATCTCTCTTTGTGTCTGTTGTGACGTGACCAGCCTTTTGATCTTCAAGTCTTAGAAAGAGACACCAATGTCACACCCAGCACAAGATGTGAAGTTGTATATGTTTGAAGCAGGAAGAAAGACAGCAAGATCAATCAAATGGCTACACGACAACCAGGAAGGGAATGCCGAAGGGGAGGAGCAAACAGATGCGCTTCAGTGCGGACAGCAAGAAAGGCGACAGTAATACTATCGACCGGGCAAATCGGCGAGATCAGAGGAACAAAGAGACGAGACCGGGATATCCAATGTTTCTGATAACACACCCCAATGGCAGCAACAAAGCATGCGAAGACTCCGAAGAGTAACCCTGCACTACACAGGGGGAGGGGAGGGAAGAAAGGTCAGTGTCAACTAAGAGGGGGCGAGGGAGAAAAAGGAAGAACACCAGCCAAGGGAACTACTGCAATCCCAGAGGTGAAGAGAGAAAAAAAAAACACCAACGAGAAAAGAAATGGTCAGTGATCAGTGAAAGACAAGATCAGTCCTGCACTACCGCATTGTACAGTAGGAGACTAAACAGTATAAACTGACTGGTCAGAGCGAAAGAGGGAGAATGGGAAAAAAAAACGAATGAGAGGGAAGAGAGGCAACTGTGCCTTTTGCAGGGGCACTGGGAAAAGGGAAAAGTGAGGCTGATCTAATCTAGACGTTTGCAGCAACTACGAACTTTCCGGTTTCTGTTTTCTGTTTTCTGTTTTGTGTTTTGGCACGGCGAACCACCTGGAGACCAGCTGGGAACGGGCACGGAACTATAAGTATGGAGAAGTTTACTTGGAATCAATCCCTAATCAGATAGCGGATGACGTGGGATGCTTGACGAGAAGAAAGGCCGAAGTAGAGAAAGATGAAGACGACGACGACGACGACGACGATGATGATGATACAGTACTAACTAGTAAATTGACGAGGATTGCCCTTCTTCAAGCCTGGCCCGATGGTTAGTTAAAGGTGGTGTGGGGAAGAAAGGATCAATCAATCAATCATTCATTCATTCATTCATTCATTCCTTAACCACCGCGCGAGGGTTGAGAAGTGAAAGACGAAAAGACCAAAAGCAGAGGCAGAGGCAGAGGCAGAGGCAAAGGCAAAGGCAAAGGCAAAGGCAAAGGGAAAGGGAAAGTCAATTATTCCCGCGGCGATAATCCCTGACTCCACCCCAGCAGCAGCACCAGCAGCAACATTCCTCACAACCAGGGCAGGGCACGGTATCGTGTGCGATCTCAGACCTCGGGCGTGTGCCGGTTTCAATGCTGCTACCCGGCACGCTGGAAAGGCCTGGGAGATCCCCAATATCCAAATGTGATAGGGAGTCAGTCCGCTCCCCATAACTGGTTCAACTGGTTCAACTGGTTCTCCCATGCAGAACGCCACCAGTCAATTGAATTCTGTCTGGGTGGGATGGACCAATAAATTTGGGGAGGAACCAAAACAAATCAAAAGGTATCAGGAGGGATAGTCAATCGTCTACTCTGTACACCTAGTAGAGTCTCCATTGAGACTTCGCTAGGAGGGCCATTCGGTGTATTCCCGCTGAATCATGGCAATGTGCAAAGCAAATGGATGCAGCCTGCCGTTGACTGTGTTCGGATGGATCTAAGACCGGATCCATCGAGATCCGAGCTCTTGTAATCTTTTTTTTTGTCCCGGTATGGTTTCTTTTGTTATGAATTATTCATTGGTAGTTATGTGATGAACAGGAGACTGAGTCTCTGCACGGAGTAAGAAAAGATACCAAGCAGGGGATGACCGGACATTCCATACGGAAAACTATAACTAACAACCGGCAAGTATGAATGAGTAAGTTAGTACTCCGTAGTTAGAAGAACTCACGTCCCTTTAGTCTTTAGACTTCTTCCGCATGCAGGTTGGGTGATTTCTGTCATCCACTCTCTATACATACAAAGTATTTTGGCCGACAAGATCTAAGTGAGATGAGTATAGTATATGGAAGTCGTGGGTGATTGTTTCAAGTTTCCTTCTCCCTATCCCAGGGCGCCGAACGGCAGGCACCATGCAGCATAGCACCCATTAGCATCATGCCATCAGCTTGCTTGCTTGGCCTCGCGTGCACTAACTGGTACCGTAGGTAGTCATCTAAGACTTTTCGGCAACTCTGCATCTCTCCTCTGTCATGCAAACCTAGATGAGACCGGCCGATTGGTCCCAATCTCATAGTCGGGCGTCAAACCCATCGTTCTTTTACTATCTATCGCATGGCGGATTGGCGATGGAGGGTCCGCTTTTTTGCCCACCGACACTTTCGGGACTGCAGTTCGAGTCTGGCTCGGTCACCGCCGGCGGGAACTCTTACCTAGTATTGCGCTACAGAAGCCCCTTTTCGTTCACACTTCACAGGCGCCTGCGACCGTGTTTAATTTCCTCCTGTTCTTCCTCCCTTGGGTTGGGGTGGGACATGGAGACAGCCCCGATCTATTCAGTATCCACCCTAGCAGATTGATATGTAGATTGACGTCGATGTTCAGTGATAACCCAACAGTCCCGGTCGGGGTGGATCACACGCGTGGTAGCATCGGTAAGTCAACCCGAGTCAGCAATGGCTTGTATAGTACCGTAGTTCTTCCCCGGTTTATGTTCATGTTTCCCGGCAGGAATTTTGATGTCCAAGGTTCTGTCGGATGGCCCCTGTAAGTCGGATTTGCTACTCCGTATCGAGAATATATTCAACACTTGCTAAGAAGTGGGATGAACATTTGAGTCAGCAGCACTTCGGAGTTGGAGTAAGTTACTGTACGAAGTACTTGACAATCGCTAGGTGGTAGTAATTGAGTGATGTTGCCAACACGAACGAATGATAAACGGCAGACAGTGAAAACGTCATGCGAATAATGTGTCTGGACCATTCGAGCCTTTGCGCTGCGAATAAAGGGGCGAGAAAATCCGGTGGTTAATGCTGGCTTAGCGCCTCACTTTTGTTGCGCACTGGTCACAACACTTAGATACTCCACGCGTGGCCGCCTCATTATCCTGGGTCAGGACGGCGAGGTGGCAATTGGGGATGGGGGAGAGAAGCCAAGCCCGTTTGCAAGCAAGCCATAAGAAAAGCGGTGTTAGGATAGACCCGGTTTCTGCTCCCTGAGAGTCGAGACGTTGCGCAAGTCTGGAGCCATTATTGGCTCCGCGTTGCGCTCTCGCAGGCGGGGCGGGGGAGTACTGAGTCCCTACGGAGTACTAGAACTTCCTCCGGCCTGTCAAGCCAGGGCGGACAGATAATGGAGTAATGATGAACCTTGGGTTGACATGTATCTCTACTGCGACTTGTTGAAACTCCGCTGCAGATTGCTTGCCTGATTAATGCTTTCACCGACCGAGCCAAGGCGATGAAGATGAAATAATGAGGATGATGATGATGATGATGATGATGAAGAAGAAGTTGGAGGCTACTCCGAGTTGATGGATGATTTCCTCCTTGGGAAGCCAGGGCCGATCCCGTGACCGCATGCCTGGCCCTAAATCAGGTGATTCGCTATACTTATCAATTCTTGAGCAACAGATAGTTACTAGGTAGTAGACAACAAGGTAAGACAAAGCCACGGTAATCACCGTGGACTACCTGATCCTCAGAGTGTACTCCGTAAGTTGTACCAGTATCGGCTCAGGCACTCAAAGTCGGCGCCACCCCGTGGCTCTTTGTAGAGTTCAATAAGCTCAAACTTATTGAGAGCAATATCCGGATAACTCGTTAAGAGCATGGCGACTCACAACAGTGTATGTAATATAATGAGAGAGAGTCGACTGTCGCTATGACAGTGCTTGCAGTGCAGTGCAATGAAGAGAAAGGTGATGAGGAACTGAGAAAATGAGAAAATGAAGCTGGTCGCTGTCTACGCCTTGATCCGTATGCTATGGGCATTCCTACCTCCGCGTCGGCCAGACATCTCCCAATTCCAGGTTCATTCCTTACCAGGCGTCCCTTCCTCCTCTCTTCCTACCAGTTGGGCCGGTCGGATTCCTGTTCCTGAGACCGAACCCGGCAACTCGTTGTTCTTCTGGCTCTTCCAGGCCGAAGACCCTGCACAGGATGATAACCTTATCAGTCGGTCTCTCTCTTGTTCTCTGCAGAACCAGCCGCAATAGCTAATCAGATGTCTGCTAGTATGGTTTAATGGCGGTCCTGGATGCTCGTCTCTGATCGGACTGCTGTCAGGCAATGGGCCATTTGCCTTCGTTGGCAATTCCACCGAGCTCGAGCGCAATCCCCACTCGTGGACGCAGCTGGGACATGTCTTGTATATCGACCAACCCGTGGGGACGGGCTTGTCCACGGCGAGTGAGCCCTATCCATTGTCCGACAACGAGGGAGTGACTTCCTACCTCTACGCATGGCTACAGTCTTTTCTCGCCCATTTCCCTCAGCTCAAGTCCAAGCAGATCCACCTGATGGGCGAGTCCTACG